GGCGGAGCGGCGACCTTCGACCATGTCGTCAGGGGAATGTCCAGGAATGTCTCCTCTTCCTCGTCCTCCTCCTCCTCCTCCTCCTTGACCTCCTCCTCCTCCTCCTTCTCGTCCTCCTCCTGCTGCTCCTGGTCCTCCTCCTGCTCCTCCTCCTGCTCCTCCTGCTCCTCCTCCTCCTCCTGCTCCTCCTGCTCCTCCTGCCCCTCCTCCTCCCTCTCCTTGCCCTTGTCCCGTTCCGTCGCACTTATTTGCCTAAGTGCTCCCTTCGGGGATGCGACTTTCGTTGTCGTTCATGCACAGTTCCCACAGTCCTCCTCCTTTCCTCCTCCTCCTCCTCCTCCTCCCTCCTCCTCCTCCTCTCCTCCTCCTCCCTCCTCCTCCTCCTCCTCCTCCTCCTCCTCCTCCTCCTCCTCCTCCTCCTCCTCCTCCTCCTCCTGAGAGGGAAGCTTGGGTGCCGCTTGGCGCACGCCATCGCCCAGGCCACCGTGCAAGGCCACAGTGGCGCGATGCGCGCGGCGGCAAGATGGCCTCGTCGTGCCCACGCGCGCGCGCGCCAGGTGAAGGCTCTGCCGTCAGACCAGGAGCCCGAGTGCGCTGGAGGAGGGCGAGGAAGACGAGGGCGAGGATGTGGCGAGGACGCAAGTAGAGGGCGAGGAGGACGAGGAGGAGGCACGCGAGGGCGGGGACGAGGACGACGAGGGCGCCAGAGCAGGACGAGGACGACGACGAGGAGGAGGAGGAGGAGGAGGAGGAGGAGGAGGAGGAGGAGGAGGAGGAGGATCGTCGACTCCGTGCAGCTCCAGCCTGCCCCGGGCTGTCCGCACGCACCTTCTTTACTCCAGCGCGCCGATGGCCTACCGTCGGCGGGCTGGGCCCCACTGAGGCGGCGGGCCACGTGGGGCCACGCCCGACGCACAACGGACCGCCCCGATAGTGGCAGCGCAGGGCAGGCCGAGCAGCCCCGCGATGGGGCGGGCGGAGCCACAGAGCCGAGCGGCCGAGGCGCCGGCCCGCTCTGCCCTCGGCGGCCTCGCGCGCCGCCGCGGCGGCGCGGTGCCGAGCCGCTGCGCGGCGGGCGCGCGGGCAGAGCGGGCCGGCCGCCCAGCTCACCACCCACAACACCACCCCAACCCTACCCGAAAATCCCGGTCTGCCCTCCGTTTCCAGTGGGGCGGGGGGGGTTCGGGGAACTTTGGAAAAACACAGATGAAGCCCGTACCCCCCCCCTCCTCAGCCCGAAATTCGGGCGAGATTCGGGTCTTCGGGTTGAGTTAGGGTGGTTTGGTAGGTAGTCACCAGCGCGGTGCAGGGCGGGCGGCGCGGATGTTCTCGACGCCGCTGGCGCTGATGCATCGCTGACGTCGTCAGTGCATCGCCGATGCATCGCCAGTGCATCTCGGCCACGCGCAGAGGTTGGGTGGGGGGAGGGGGGAGGGCTTCTTAGAAGCGCCCCTGCTCCTTCTGAGAAGCCTCCTTCTAAGAAGCCCCCCCCCTCTCCCCACCCCCTTGCGCGCGCCGTCAAGCATCGGCGACGCGGCGCGATCCTCCGACCCCCTCGGCTCGGACCCCCTCTGGGAGGCCTCCAGGATTCGCGAGGGCCAGGTCCCTGCGGGACCGAGCCAGGGCCTAATCGGGGGCCGCCCGCTGAAGGAGGAGCAGCTGGAGTCCCGGTTGCCGTATACAGGGGGGGCACGTGCCAAGAGACACCTGCTTGCCTCCAGGGTGCCCTGGGTCTCCTGGGTTTCCATGGTTCTTGCCATGGAAATCGTGACGTTCCCACACCAAAGATCGATGGACGTCCTGGGGTCTCAGGGTTGGGTTTCTTGTGGCAGGTTTCCTGTGGTCGGGCCCACACTGTATGCAACGCATGTCTGCTCCCACGTCTTGGGAAGGAGCTCGCCGTCCTCTTGGCAGGAAGGCCAGGAGGACGGAGAGCGTCAGCGGCTTCAGCGCAGCACGTCGCAGGGCGTACACGGATGGTGCGCGAGCGGCTGTTCTGGCGGCGAGAAGGCCCGTGCCGTTCCGGCCGCCGCGCAGGTCAGGATGCCCATCGGTCGTTGATAGTAGGTATTGCTGAACTCCCAGATTCCAGTCTACCTCAAGTGCCTTCCTGCTTCAAAGAGTCCAGTGGTGTTCACTCCTCTCCTCCTCTGCAAGAGGCGGGCGGAAGCCCGATCTACTTCCAGCGCCTTCCTACTCCATGTTTCTCTCTATGCTTCTTCCGACCGCTGGGCAGTCTTCGCCACCTCGCACTCTGCCCTGCGGGGCGCGCCCTTCCTGGCGCAGCCACCCCCGCGTGCCGTGGTCGCCCTGGGCTGCCTCCCGAGTCCGGGAGCTCAGAGGGCACACGCGGATGGAACTGCACAGCTCGGGGGCGGCAAAGAGGGGGGTGATGACTAGAGGCGGGTGGATATCATGGCGTGGGCCATGATAATTCCACAGATCTCGTGGCGCCTCTTCTTGCTTCATTGCGTCCCTGGCCCCCCCGCTGGGCCGCGCACATGCCGCTGGTCATGGTTTGCACCCCCCCCCTCTTGGACACCCCCCTCTTGGCCGCTCCCGAGCAGCGGGCTCTCCGGCTCCGGAGCCCTCACCGCGTGCGCAGTGCGCCCCGACATGTGCGCAGTGGAGGCTGCGGACACTGCAGGCATGCAGGCGCGAAGGCGTCTGGTGCACGGAGCTCCTCCACGAAGAAGTGCTGGTCGCTCACGTTTTGTAGTGTCTTCATCGCCTCTTTCCTTCCCTCGCTTTTTTGAATGTTCGGGTACTGCGGGAGCCGTGACTGCAGGCTGGTCGGCCAGATCTGTGTGAGGCTCCCCCTCGCGGCCCAAGTAGATCATGCCCCCTGGACTTTTTTCCGCTGGTACTGCGAAGGGACGGCCTCCCTTGCGCAAAATGCCCGCGGCCACCAGCTGCTGTTTTTCGAGATTCTCTCCGATTCGAATACGATGCTGCTGTGCTGCGAGTGTGGCCCCTACACCGAGACGGGAGACCGCGGTCGCCCTTTCTCCCGACTGCCCGAGAGGGCCACCGAGAAGCAGTGCGAGCACCCAGATTGCCAAGGCCCTCAGACTCCAACACCCCCGAAAGCGGAGCCGTCGCCGAAGTGGTTTTCAAACCGCCCGAGCTCTGATAATTGGGCTTAAGTCGGGCTTGTCCCTCTACAGGGGGAATATTCAAAAATAGTCAAAAAATAATCGTGGGATTATTTTTCGACTGGTTTTGAGTATTTTTGGTGCATTTTGGTGCACTTTCTTAATATTTCCCTTAAAATCCCCCGTAGGGGGACAGGCCCGACTTGGAACTGGGCACGCTGTTCGCAGCCCGCTCGGTCCGGCGCGGTCCCCCTGGAGGGGAGAAAAGCGCTGCGCTTGGGTGGGGGGTGGGGGGGGGGCACGAGCCTGGACCTCCCTGGAGGGAGGCACCTGGCGCTGGTGGGGGGGGGGCAGGGCTGTGGCAGGCTCGAGTGGGGCGTGGCGTCGGTGGGGTGCTGTGGCAGGGCCGGTGGAGTGGGGGAGGGCACGGACCCTCCCGGCGCTGGCGGAACGTGGCAGCGGCCCCGAGGTCGCAGAGGCCGCCGCTCCTCCGTGCACGGGGCCTGCTGTACAGGCCCCCCCCGGGGGCCGTGCGGGTGCCTCAGCAGCAGCAGCACGCCGCTGTCGCGGCGTGGGCGCGCCGAGGACACTGCGAGCCTCCGAAGCCGAGCGCTGGTCCTCCCCGTTCCCTCCTTGCTGGTCCTCTTTGGGTTCGCGTGTACATGATCGCGGGCTGACTGCATGCGTGTGGAATGCAAGGAGGGAGGCACGAGGGAAGGAGGAAGAGGAAGGAGGGAGGAGGAGGAGGAGGAGGAGGAGGAAGGACATGCGGCAGGAGGTAGGAGGCAGACGGCTCTTTCATTCTTGACGCTTATCCCCGCCAGCCCATCTGAAACGATGCCCAGGCGAGGTGCCTTGACAGCCTGATCAGACCAAGGACCAGGACGAGAACGAGGAGGCAGACGAGGAGCAGGAGGACGAGGACGAGGAAAGAGAAAGGCGAGGAGGACGACGACGAAGACGAGGAGGATTAGGAGGACGACGACGAAGACTCTGGCAGCCGTCGTGGGGTCTTTGGCGGCCTTCGTGGGGCTATGTTGGAGGGTTTGGGGGTTCGTTTGGGGGGTCTTGGGCTCTCTTGGAGCCCTCTTGGGGACCTCTTGGGCGCATCGGAGGACCTCCTGGGGCCATCTCGGAAGACGTCGATCAAACAGAGGATCCGCAAATTGCCTCACTCTTCAGGGGCCATGAGTATCGCTTCTTGGAGTCCTCTTGGGGCGCCTTCGGAGCGCTCTTGGGCGGTCCTGGGGCCTGGAGCCCGTCTTGGGGGCCTCTTGGGCCCATTTTGGGGCTCTCCTGGGCCATCTTGGGGCCCAACAACGCATTGGAAGCGAAAAGGCGAGAAGACAAACGTCATTGAGTTGCCTAAGGTGGTTGAAGGATTTGGGCATCTTAGGGAAGTCATGAGGGGGGGGGCCGAGAGCACCTGGAGCCGTCTTGTGGTCCTCTTGGGGCGTCTTGGAGGCATGTTGGAAGCCATCTTGAACCATCTTCGGCTATTCTGAGCCATTTCTGGAGGCCATTTTGGAGCACCAGGGGACCTCTTGGGGCCATCTTGAGCCACGAGGGACGCTCCGACACAGCGCGGGCGGGGGGGGGGGGGGAAAGCCTCAGGGAGTGGGGTGGGAGGGGAGAGTGCCCCCCCCGAAGGGAAGAGGCGTCCGGCAATGGGCAAGAAGAGTGCTGACAGACCACCCACGCCCAGAAGGCTGGTGGGAACTCGGCCTTGTCTCCCCACAGGGGGATTTTGTATGAAAAATAACAAATAGTCAAGCAAACACCCTAAAACACCCAAAAATGATATTTGATATTAAAAAACAACAAATCGTCCCCAGGTTAATTTTTAAAACTATTTTTGGATATTCCTCCTGTAGAGGGACATGCCCGACTTACGGCTGGTGGAAGCTCGCTCTCTCGCTCCCGGGAGGACCTGGCCCAGAAGCTGCGGTCGCAGCTGGTCACGGCCCTGCCCGCGGACCTGACGGCGCCGAGCCCCCCCCCCCTCTGCCGCGCGCGGGGGGGGCTAGGCCGACGGGGGCGCCGGGAGCTGCCAGCGGGACGAGGTCTCCTCCTCACGGTCCCTCCTCCGTGTTCCTCCTCCTCCTCCTCCTCCTCCTCCTCCTCCTCCTCCTCCTCCTCCGCCTCTTCCCCTCCTCGTCCTCCTCTTCCTCCTCCTCCTCCTCCTCCTCCTCCTCCCCCTCCTCCCTCCTCCTCCTCCTCCTCCTCCTCCTCCTCCTCCTCCTCCTCCTCCTCCTCCTCCTCCTCCTCCTCCTCCTCCTCCTCCTCCTCCCCCCCTGTGCGCCCTGGGCGCTCGGTCGCCACGCAGGCGGCCCGGGGCGCGGTGGCCCGTCGGCACGGAGGCCGCTGCGCGCCACGTGCGGCGCGGAGGCCCCCGGTGGCGCAGGCATGCTGCAGCGCATGGGCACCACGTCCTCGGCGCCGTGGGGCGCTGCGGTCACGGAGGCAGCCTCCCTCCTCCCTCCGATCCTGGCGTTGCAACTTTTTCAGAACGGTGGTTTTTGCTCAATTTCGGGCCCCGGGACCCTCACAGATCGATCCGGCTCGAAAAATGACGCCGAACGGTGCGGTCCGGGGCTCTAGGCGTGATTGTTTGCGATGTTGCAGTTTTTGTTGCGGCGTCGGATCTCTGGGCTCGGCTTCTCGTGAGGCCGCCGTCGGGGCCCTCGGGAGTCCCGTGCCCGCCCGCCGCCCGTCTGTGTGTCCGGACGGACGTGCTGCGCCTCGTGCCTCGTGCCGCTGCGGGCCTGGCTGAGGGGCCGCTGCACGGCCTCGGGGTCGAGGCCGCAGCGGCGGTCCGGCGCGCCAGCCTCAGCCAGCGCCCGTGGCGCACGGCGTGCGCGCCCGCGGACACTGCCTTCCTGGCGGCCCGCAGGCTGGGCCGGGAGTGCGCAGGGCCCTCCGCCTTGCGCAGCGATTGGGATGCGGTGCGTTCGGCCTGCTGCGCCTGGGGCCTCGCCAGGTCGAGGGAGGAGGAGAGCAGGCGCGCCGCGGCGCGGGCTTCCGGCGGGCCTGCGCCCAAGGCCACTGGCAAGGCCCTGGCTCGCGGAGTGGAGGCCCTCCCCAGCTGGCCGATTTCCTGGGCGCCGCCGCGCAGGCTCCTCTGGGCGCAAGGCGGGCGTCCGAGGCGAGAGGCTGCAGGTGGGCCCTCCGCGCCCTGGTCACCAACGCGCACTGGCCCCAGGCCCGGCTCCTCGCGCGTGGCTTGGTGGGCCCCTCGACTTTCGGGGGCGGCAAAGAGGGGGGTGATGACTAGGGGGGGGATATCATGGCGGGGGCCATGATAGTTCACCCGATTTCATGGCGCCTCTTCTTGCTTCATTACGTCCCTGGCCCCCCCCGCTGGGCCGCGCACATGCCGCCGGTCATGGTTTGCACCCCCCCTTTTGTGCACCCCCCTCTTGGCCGCTCCCGAGATTTGCAGGCTCTGCGATGGCGTCTTGGGGAGCCTCTACCACCGCCGCCACGCGTGCCCTGCCCCTGCTGGGCCGCGCCGCGACCTGACATCGCTCCGCCTCCGCCAGCGAGCGGCGAGGGTCGGGCACGGGAGCGCGGAGGCGGGAGAGAGGCTCTGCAGAGGTCTGTGGCCAGACCCCCGCTGCTTGTTCCGGCGGATCAGCGTGGAGGGCAGCATCTCTTAGATCGACAGTCGGGGGCGGCAAAGAGGGGGGTGATGACTAGGGGGGGGATATCATGGCGGGGGCCACGAGATCTCCCCAGATTTCATGGCGCCTCTTCTTATTTCAATGCGTCCAGGGCGCCCCCCCGCTGGGCCGCGCACATGCCGCCGGTCATGGTTTGCACCCCCCCTCTTGGACACCCCCCTCTTGGCCGCTCCCGAGACTTGCAGGCTCTGCGATGGCGCCCCCCCCTCGTGGACGCCCCCCTTTGGCCGCTCCCGAAACAGGCCCAGCTCCAGGAGGCGTTCGGGTTGCCTTTTCCTGGACGGCAGCTCGTTCGTGCGCCGCCTCCCGGAGCTGAAGCACGCTGGATGGGTAGTGGCCCAGGCCGACCGCCTCGGCCGACTGGAGGGGTTCGGGCCCGCGCCCACCTCGGCGGGCGCCCAGCCAGACGGCCTCTTCGACGCCGAGGACTGCACGGCTTTCGTGCTCACGATGGTGGCCGTGGCCTTCGTCCCAGCTCTACCTGGACCGCGCCAACACGCTGCGGGTGCCGGCGGGCGGCCGGCGGGCGGCCCGGGGCGCGGGGGCCCGCGGCTCGGAAGTGAGGCCCCACCTGTGTGGGGGCCCTCTTGGGTTATGTCGGGCCTGTCCCCCTACAGGGGGATGTTCGACGAACAGTAAAAGATACCTCCAACATACCCCAAAAAGGTCAAACAATACCTTCAAAACAGTCAACATACTATTTTGGGGACTATGTTTTTTAA